TGGTCTTTCACATGAGAGAGAAATACCCTCTCATTGTATGTGAGCTGCTGTTGTCTCCAGTTTCTGATAATCACAGCTACATCTGATCTTAACTGACACAGAAAACAACTGTATCAGGACCATAAATGCTCCCAGGGACCCAACAGGCCATCCAGACGGTGTTCTGTTTTCAGCCTAGACAGAGGAAAACTGATCACATTTCAAAAGCCTTGCAGATACTTGAGAGAGTGAAAGGAATAGACTCAGTAGTGAGGCTGGGTCAAACGGTGTAAAGGGGATTCTATCCCACAGAAACCAGGATGTCTGCTCCCCTTGCCAGAGTCCATCTTACACTCATCAGACCACGGGATACTAAACCTCTGACCTCTGCTGTTCTCCACTGCCCTTTCTTTTTCTCTCCTGCCTTACTGACAAAACTCTAAAGTCCTCAAGAGGAGAGATCAGCCTTCATACTCTTCTATAGCCCAGTGCCTAATCCTATGCTTTACATCCCCCCATAGGCTCACAAATTACTGAAGAAGGGAAAAATGATGATGACATAGAACAGGAGAATTCCAACCAGATATTTGACAGTCTCCTTTCAGAAAAATCCTTCCTTATATTAACTTAAACTCCTTTCTGTTTTAGTAGTTTGCTTGTCTCTGATTCAGCTGCAGCTTGCCTAAGGTTTCCAATCCAAAGACAGGGCAGCAGAATTCTCAGTGACATGACTTTTCCATATGAAGTTAATGCTTGCTGTGCAGGCTGAAGGGAAGTAACAAAAGCACAGATATTCTAAAGGCCGGTGCAAGGCATCTGCTCATTGTCAGCTGTGCTGTCAAGAGTAACATCACCACCCTAAACACATGGGTTCCCCAACACCCATCATGTTTGCTACATTCCTTGGATGCGCACCAATAGATAGTGGATGAGGCCAGTCTTGGATCAACACTTAGTGGCAAATAACACCTGTGCAGGTAGGTTGAGGTTCTGACCTGACTGACTTGCTTTAGGGATTCAGACCCCCTGTTGAATGTTATAAGGCATGAGTTCATTCTTGAGGAGGAATTAGAAGGAAGAAAAATTACATAATCCATCTCAAACTATAAGGCTTGAATATGTGGTTGTGATTTGTTCAGGTGCTGTTCTGTAAACTGCATTAGGAAGGGAGGAGGGGAAGGCAGCTATGTTCTGGATAGTTAGGCAGGGCTCTGTTTGTCTATATAAGCAGACTTTCACACATATTCTAGTCAACATGCCACAAACTGTGCAGACCCCATCGGTGAGCATGCAAGTCCTCAACAAGCGAGAACAAAGCCAGGTGGCCCTTACACAGACCAAACTACAAGTGAAACCTCATGAAATATAAATAGGCTACCATTTTATGAGCTTTTGCTATGAGCCAGACCCTTGGTTAGGTAACTGCCCATGTCAAGGTGTGGGATGGAAGGAAGGGAAAATCAAGGTGGCAATGGTTAGCAGACCAGGTAGGGCCTGGTAATACTGGCCTAAGGGAACCCATCTCTGTCCAATGGGAGCCACTGACTTTTAATGACACCAGTGGCCTCTTACACTGCTAGGCTAGACAGAACAGTATTAGCTTTGTTCTCCTCTCCTCTTCCCTACCCACCTCAATGCCTGTGCCTCCACGCTCATTCAGTCATCAAGGTCCACCAATTTTAACTCAGACACATCTCTAGCTCTCTTCCTCCCATGGGCACTGTCTAAATTCAGGTCCTAATCATTTCTTGCCTTCTAACTGGTCTCCTCTCTCAGGCTCTTCCAATCCCTCCTCCACACTACTGATGGGGAACTTTCTAGAAGCACTGACAAGACCACTGAGACAGGCTTTGGGCTTTCTGTAGGTAAAGGGAAGAAGTCTCCCGTTGAAGACAAGCCCATATGAACAGTGCTTCTGTGCAGTGACTCTGGTGCTCCACCCAGCACCCCAAGGGGCAGGACAACAGGGACCTTGCAGGTTGCCACCTTTAGAGGGAGTCAGAAGGCAAGAAGTGGGCAATGAAGAGAAGTGGGACACCCAGAAATGTGGACCTGTTACCTCCTCTGACCTCTATGCAAATGTTCAGTGCTTTCTGTCTGACTCTTAAAAATAGTCTTGGCACTTCATATAGCACCTTTCATCAGATGATCCCACAAAAGGAGCTCAAAACAGTCTCCTCACAGACATCTTAAGCAGGCATCCCTCTCCCTGCAATGCCTAAGGGCGCAGGAAGAGAGGAGAACAGGGTTCTGACACTTCCTTGGGAGATTTTCATTCTGCTTCTTAATTCCCTCCTGGTCCTCTGAAATCCAAAGTAGTATCCCATTTAATAGGAAGAAAATAAACAAACAGCATTCTGTGTGTGTGTGTGTGTGAGAAAGGGGGTGGGGGGTAGGAGCAAAGAAAGGCAGAAGGCAGAAGAACCAAACAGTTAACACTGGTTGTTACCTCTGGGAGAATGGGCAGGGCTGGAATGATCACTCCATTCACTTCTGGGCTGCATGATTTTTTTTTTTTTTTGCAAGAAAGTATAGTTATTTATTGCTTGGGTAATATCAGGAAGCAATTTCTTTGTAATGTAAAGTATCATGAATATTGGTGAAAAAAGTAGTGAGGTATTTTGATGGGGTAGTGTACCAGGACCGTATATGGTTTCACTTATATGCAGAATGTAAAAAACAAAACCAATGAATAAACAAAGAAAAACCAGTAATTGACTCATAAATACAGAGAACAAACTGGTGGTCACCAGAGGGGAGGAAGGGGGTTGGGCAACATAGGTGAAGGGGATGAAGAGGTACAAACTTCTAGTTACGAAATAAATAAGTCACAAAGATGAAAAGTACAAATAGGGAATATAGTCAATAACACTGTACTAATCTTGTTTGGTGACAGATGGGGACCACACTTATCATGGTGAGCACTGAGTAATGTACAGAAATGTCGAACCTCGGGCGCCTGGGTGGCTCAGTTGGTTAAGCGACTGCCTTCGGCTCAGGTCATGATCCTGGAGTCCCGGGATCGAGTCCCGCATCGGGCTCCCTGCTCTGCGGGGAGTCTGCTTCTCCCTCTGACCCTCCCCACTCTCATGCTTTCTCTATCTCATTCTCTCTCTCAAATATATAAATAAAATCTTAAAAAAAAAAAAAAAGAAATGTCGAACCTCTATGTTGTACACCTGAAACTAATATAACATTGCATGTCAACTATACTTCATAATATAAAAAAACTCAAACCACCAAGATGGTAATTAATAGATATTTATATTGAATATAAATATAAATGAATATTATACTTGTTTCTCCAAAACAAGTTTTAGAAGCTGTTTTTCTCAGATTTAACGATATTGAAAGGAAAAGATTTTTAATAACATGTTATCAATAGAAGGTTCTTATATCTTGATTGTGATGATAGTTATATAGCTTAATGTCAAAACTCAGAACTATACAATAAAAAATGGTGGTGAAATTTACCGTATGTCAATTATGTCTCCAAAAATTAGTAAAACAATAAATACCATTAGAGGTTAATTGCTCACAAGTAACTACCACTTTTAATTGAGGCTTTCTTGGGTATAAGACTGGTGATCAGCTTAAATACAGTATTTTATGGTGAGCTTGATACTGTCATTAATACCATTTCACAGATCAAAGAACAGATGCTCAGAGATGTAATTTGCCCAACGCATGACTAGGAAGCAGCTGATCTGGAATTTGAGTTCACAACTGTGTGACATCTCGCACCTGGACCACCCTGTAAATGCCCTTTATTTTTATTTATTTATTTATTATTTATTTATTTATTTATTTATTTATTTATTTATTTGCGAGAGAGAGAATGAGAGACAGAGAGCACGAGAGGGAGGAGGGTCAGAGGGAGAAGCAGACTCCCTGCCGAGCGGGGAGCCCGATGTGGGACTCGATCCCGGGACTCCAGGATCATGACCTGAGCCGAAGGCAGTCGCTTAACCAACTGAGCCACCCAGGCGCCCCTGTAAATGCCCTTTAATATAGCCCACTTGAGATGCTGCACTCCCTCCCATGGGGCTGTGTTTGCTGCTGGATGCCCTTGGCCTCTCTGGGGAGAATCTGGGGTGAACTCATTTCAAGTCTATGCTCAACTGTATTCAGGGTCCAAGTGATGCCAAGGCCACCAAAGGCAGTTACCCTGCACTCCCTGCCCACATTTCCACCACCCTGTCCCAAAGCAGGCTTGGTGGCTAATGCTGCAGATGTCTACTTGATCAAGGTCTGACTAACCATCTGCCCACAGATGGACCAGCCCCATCAAACCAGAATTCCTTTCCTAGAGGCAGGCAGGACACCTGGGTGGCTTGAGGGGTTTGTGAACAGGGTGCAGCCAGGGGGCACTTGTGTGTCTAGAGAAAGCTGCAGAGTCTGAGGTCAGAAGAGGAGGTGGGATGGTGGTGGTGGGATAAAGGGCCGTGAGCAGATTCCAGGGAATGACGTGAGATGGGGAGGGGAGAGTATTCTGAGGAGGGGAGCGGGATCTGGGGAAAGGGTGCAGGATCAGGAGAGAGCCGCAGGGTCTTGGGCGGAGCCCAGGGTCCGGGCGGATTTGGAGAGGACCACGGAGGTCGGAGGTCGGAGGTCGAGGAGGGCAATGCGCGATCCAGGAAAAGGATTGAAAATGCAGGAGAAGGGCACAGGGTCCCGGGGAGGGGCTTGGGGTTTGGGGTAGGAGCGCGCGGGGTGAGAAACGGCGCTTGGGATTGGGACAGGGGCACGGATCTGAGGAGGGGCGCAGGATCTAGGAAAGGAATTCAGAGTCTAGGGGAAGGACACGGGGTCTAGGGAAGAAGTGCAGTGTCCAAGTTAGGCGTACACAGAGTGTGGGGAGGGACATGGGATTGGAACCGGGGTTAAGGACCCAGGAAAGGAACACAGAGCCCAGAGGAGGAGCGCCGGGTCCTGGGAATGGACTCGGATTCCTGAGAAGGAACTGGGGGGTGGGGACACAGGGTGGGGTCTTAGGGGACTGAGCCAGCCCTTTACCTGCTTCAGATGTAGTCGTTGTCCACGTCCCGGCAAATGTACCACAGGATCACGTAGAGTATGAGCAGGATAGCGAAGAGGAACAGAGCCACGAAGATGGCCTTGGTCACTGGGGAGACCAGGGCTTGCATGGTCCCACCGAAGGGGCGCCGCGGGGCCCTGAAGGAGGGACAGCGACAAGAACGGCGCCAGCTATCACCTGCGTGTGCGGAGAGGAGCCTGACAGGGAGGCAACTTGCACGGGCCCGCGTTCCTGGCAGCGCCTGCGCACTGCCCAAAGCGCCTGGGACCAAGGGCTTGCCCAGCGCAGGCGAAGACAGAGGTCTGGGGGACCCCCGGCCCGAGACCCTTTCTGGTAGGATGCAGCCAGGGGGCTCTGCCTCTGGCCAGTCGGAATTAAAGGAGCTAAGGGCTGAAAGAGGACTCTCAGGCACTGGTGGGGCCCCTCCAGAGTGGGCCTGGGGTCTCCTTGAGGACCCTAGGCTGGGGAGAAGTGTAGGGGCTCCCCTGTTTGCCCCAGAGTGTCCCTAAAGGATGATCCCACTCCTCTCTCTGGCACTTCGGCAACATACATAGCAGGGAGGTCATAAGCTAGCCGCATCTCCACTTCCACACCCTGCCCGACTTTGCACACAGACATTTTCCTGCACACAATGACCGGTTCCCTGCTCTTTGTAACTATCCCTCAGGTGGAACCTTAAGCAGGAGGGAGGGGCCAGATGTGGCAGGGACTCAGGCCAGGGACCACTTGTCAAATCCCAAACCTTCTGGAGGACTACCATGGCGTATCCATCACCCTCCTGGAGGAAGCCCAAGGCTGCTTTTTCTAGACTGCACCTCCCTCTTCTCTGGAAGGACATAAAGTTGCTTATTTTGGGGCCAGATGTCACAGGTCTGACTTCCTTCCTCCACTCTGTTGTCCACCAGTGGTTCTGACAAGTAGCATCTGTATCACTTGGGGGCTGGTTAGAAGCAGGATCTCAGGCCCCATTCAGCCCTATGAAGCAGGAATCTGCATGTCAGCAAGGTTCCCAGGCGACTCCAGTGCACATTACCACACACTCCTTGTGGCTTGGTGGTACTTCAGGCCTCTGCCTTCTGTAGCCTGTGACTCACTGAATTCAGGGGCCTTGTGTCTTCAACAGTCAGGAGTAATCAGGCAGGATTTCTTGAGTGGAGACTTTGTAAAACTCCCATTACTGAGCACATTCCACGTAGCTAGAGCTGTTCTCAGTTCCTTATGAACATGATTTCATCCACTCTTAAGGAGAAACTTTTTCATGACTGAATAACGAAGACAGAGAAAAATGGTCCTGAATGGCTTAAAGTAAAAAGAGAATGAACCCTTTTTTTTTTTTTAAGATTCTATTTATTTATTTGACACGTAGAGATTGAGAGGGTGAGAGAGAGCACAAGCAGGGGTAGCTTCAGGGAGAGGGAGAGGGAGAGGGAGAAGCAGGCTCTCTGCTGAGCAAGGAGCCTGATGTGGAACCTGATCCCAGGACCCTGGGATCATGACCTGAGCCAAAGGCAGACACTTAACCGACTGAGCCACCCAGGTGCCCCGGGAATGAACCCTTCCACTCCCCCCAACCCCCTCCTGAAAGCTCTGTTCTTGGTTTTCTCCTGCTCTCCAGGTGGTTTCTCAGGTGGAGACAGGCAAATAAATAATTTGTGATTTCTGTACTCTACGCATGTGATCTAGCCTAGTGTAGTGGGAAGGAGAAGTGGCATTTTACAAATGGAAATGTCAGAAAACATGATTGTCACATATGAAAACACGAGAGGCACAGGCCAGATCACCTACCGCTCCCACAGCTGCCAACAGGAGGTGCACCAGTGACTGTCAGGAAAGCATTGTGGTTGGAAGGGCCAAGGCCACTATCACCTTGTGGGGTGTACATGCGATCTCTATATTGTGAAAGTGAATGTCTCTGAACAGGCTTAGCTCAGTATAAGCAGGGAGTATTTTTCCTTGGTCTCTGCTGCCAAATTCCTTCATTTCTCACTGCTTTCCTGAGTTAGCTTACCTTGATTTTCTGGACTGAATCTTTTCCTATTTTAATAGCAGCTTCCTTTCCTCAGCATCAGGCCCGTCCAGGGACAATCCAATTCGTTAGATATTAAGTACCTACAGGGTACCAAGAGGGTGTGGCAGGCAAAGCAGCAATTGGTAAGACGGAATCTAGGATTAGAGTCCAGTGGAGTCCATAGAAAAGCATGCAAATACCTAGGGCAGAGGCAGGTGTGATACCTGCTTACACAATCCAAAAGAGGTGTTTAGACGAGAGATGGAAGGGTAAGATTGGATTTCAGTGGCAGAATAGGAGAAGGCTTCATGGAAGAGGCAGCAATAGGAGACAGAGGGGAAAGGTCGCCGCAGGTGGAAAGAATGTCCAAGCAAAATATAAGTGTGAAGGGCGGTCCTGTTTGGAAATGGTGATAGGGCATTCTGTGGCCAGGACATAAGGTGCATGGGACACAACATGGCAAAAGGATCACAAATGCAGATGCTGGAAGGGGCCAGGTGGGTTATAAAAATGAATGAAGATGTTCAACTGTGGGAGAAACATTGAGTCAGTGTGGGGGTCAAGTGTTGTGAGTGCTTCTGAGTTTTTAAAAAAGCTTAAGTTGTAATTCCAGACTTTGATGTGGCATCTCCCAATTTTAAATGCTGATGATCATTGTGGAAATGATAAAGCATCCAGTCTTTATTTCCCACACTGGCATATCCCTCCCGTTTTCCCACATGGGACTCCCTCTGCTTTTCCTTGCCCTCCCCTTCCCAGGGCCATGAGGTGCCCAGCAGAGGTGGCGCTTGAGGGTAACAGGTGGTAGATGGGAAGGAGTGAATGGGGAGGGGTGAAGGAAGACAAAGGGAGAGTGACTCCTCACCCCCTCTCATTTCTAAAGCTCTGGGAAGGCAGAAGCTGCCATTAAGCCTGGGAAAGAAAACTCCATGGTGATTGGAACTGCCAAGTTCTGTTGCTCTCCAGACAGACAAGGGATAAATCCCTGGCAGCTGCTCTCTTTATCTATATTACCCACAAAGCCAAGATGAGCAATTTCTTTAGCACCTTTATTGACATATATTTTATGTAACAAAAATTCACTCCTCACTCATTTTGTGTAGAATTCAATGCATTTTAGTATTAAATATGATTACAGTCAAATGCTTTTTCTGTATATATTGAGGTCATCATGGGAGTTTTGTGCTTTATTCTATTAATATAATACATTACATTAATTGATTTTTGGATTGTCAAACAACCATGCTTACCTGGAATAAATCCAATTTGACTATGGTGTATAATCCTTTTTTACATTGTGCCGAATTCAGGTGGCTAGTATATTGAGGATTTTTACATCTGTAGTCATAAAGAATATTGGTCTATAGTTGTATTTTCTTGTGATGACCTTATTTAGTTTGGGTATATAATACTGGTCTCATAGAATGAGTTGGTGAGTGTTCCCCTCTCTTCAATTTTTTTGGAGGAGTTTGTGAGGATTGGTGTTAATTCTTCCTTAAATGTTTGGTAAAATTTACCAGTACAGCCATCTTATAGATGGAAATTTGTGTCTCTGATAACCTTCATCCAATTACTCCATTCCCCAACTCCCACCTCTGATAACCACAAATCTGATCTCTTTTTCTTAGTTTAGGTTAATTTTGTTTTGTTTGTAGATTTCATATATAAGTGAGATCATTCAGTATTTGTCTCTCTCTGACTATTTCACTTAGAATAATGCCCTCAAGGCCCATCTATGCTGTTGCAAATGACAGGAATTCCTTCTTTTTATGGCTGAATAACATTCCATTGTATATACCACATCTTATACTTTTCTTTTTTAAAAGATTTTATTTATTTATTTGAGAGAGAAATAGAGCATGAGTGGGGTGGGAGGGGCAGAGGGAGAGGGAAAAGCAGACTACCCACTGAGCAGGTCCTGGGATCATCCTGAGGTCCTGGGATCATGACCTGAGCCAAAGGCAGATGCTTAACCGACTGAGCCACCCAGGCACTCCTATAGTTTCTTTAACCATTTACCCATTGACGGACACTTAGGTTGTTTCCATATCTTGGCTATTGTAAGGAATGCTTCTATGAACATGGGGGTGCAGATATCTCTTCAACACAATGTTTTCATTTCCGTTGGATATATTCCCCAAAGTGGAGTTGCTGGATTATATGGGAGTTCTATTTTTTCTAGAAGTTTTAATGGCTCAAGTCTGGGAATTGATAGGCTATGACTCTTTGACTTTGTGATTCATATTACACTTTTGTTCACTTGATCTAGAACTTTTCCACTTATGCAAATCAATTACTGGACTTTCTATTTCGCTTGTAAGAACACCATGATTAACTAGCCAATACATAGATCCGTAAGTCAGATATTCTGAGAGCTGCCTTGGCTCTGCTGGCCGTTACCATAACCACCCTCACCTTGCCTTTGGCAGTTGTGTGCTGCCCCTTGGCCCCTGCCACCTGAGGATTCCACTGCATTTAGGTTTCCAAATTCAGTGGCTGCATTTCCCACTTTAAAGTCTGGGCTGCAGAGAAGAACATCACTCCCCTCACAAACTTATTTCTCACAGCTGTGGTGAAAGGCATGTCCATTGGACTTTCCCAGTGTGTGAGTAGGTCTTAAATGACAATCTCCCTAAGCCTTTGAATCCCTTCCTCTATATTAAACCAAGACGTCCTGATATTTCCAACTCACTCATTATAGGTCACCTTTTAGTCCATGTTTCAGCCAATTAACTATTAGAACACTTTCTAACTACCCAAGCTGCAATATTAAATGCAGTATATTTCTTTTGCAGTTAATTTCTATTCCTAGTTTGCTGAGTATTTTTATCATGAAAGGGTGTTGGATTTTGTCAAATGCTTTCTCTGTTGTTTGTTTGGGGTTTTTTTTTTGATGATCATGTGTTTTTCATATCCTGTCTTGATATGACTGGGGTTGGGAAACCAGACATACCGTCCAAGGACAGAGCAAGGAACAACAGATGAAGGTATGTCTGATTTAGGGATGGCTGATGACCCGGTAGGTAGGCAGCATTCAGTTATAGGACAGTCAATTGACAGCTTGGATTCTGAAATTTGGTAGTCAACCTCAAGTGTTTCAAGGTATGAACTCAAGGTGGGGAAAAATGTGGATGTGGTAAGATTGAAGACAGACCCAGGTCTTGGATCAGGGGTGGGTGGCAGGGCCCTACAGCCAAAGGACTTGGGAAGGTATCTGTTCCCTGGACATTAGTCAACAAAGGGGAAATTAGAGGTGGGCTCAGTTTTCACTGAAGCCCTGAGCTAGAAGCTCTAGGTTCCTTAAAGTGATCCTGCCTCTGACTCATTGGATTTATGCTACACACATAGGAGATTGTAAATTTTCTTTTCTCCCCCAATTGTCTCTTCCGTTCCACCAAAGGAAACCTCTAGCTGCCACCGGCGGCCGAGGCGCCCGGGGGTGGGTGAACATCTCTAATGAGTCTTCGGGCACAGCCTGAATGTACAGAGTGTGGAGGGAAAGACGGACACCCTGGAGACTCGCCCAGCGGCTGGGGAACACCCTGCCAACACCGCGACAGCTTAGGAGCCTTCCGAGAGGATTCTCGAGGCCCAAGCCAGTCTAAACCCGCAATGGGCATTTTAGCGGTCCCGGGGCATCGCCCGGTGACACCAGCGGCTGAGTAGGGCTTCCGGTTACATAAATTACCCTGTGATTTCTGTCTGGCCGGCCCTGGCCGTGCCTGCATTTTACCGGGCACTCAACGCAGGCGGCGTTTCAGCCCACGGTTTGTACCGGCTGGGGGTGGACTGAGGCCCTGCAGGGAGCCAAAGGCCACAGACTCGCAGACAAAATAGCCTCAAGCTTGGAGGCATTTCTGCTTCATGGATCTCTGGAAGATCATCGAGTTCCATGCCCAGAATGGAGTTGGGGGGTGGTGCTTTGGGGGAGGTGGCCCTGCACGTGGGGAGAATGTGCTAGAGAGGCTTCTCTGCAAGGCCGCCTCTTACTGATGCTCCCAGCCCCACAGCCCAAAGAAGGATGGCGGAGCTCAAGCCCTGGGCACCGAGCAGGGCAGGTGTCCCTGCCGTGGTCGGTCAAGGAAAGGACAGTAAGCCAGTGTGGGGCCAGCGGCTCCTGGCCTGTCCCAGCGGGGCCGGGAGTCAGCCTGGGAGGCGGCGGCGGGCTGGGGAGGGGGCCGCCTGCAGGCTGACGAGAGGCAAGGAAGGAGAAGGCCTCCTCCCACTCCTCCTCCTCCTCCTCCTCCTCCTCCTCCTCCTCCTCCTCCTCTTCGCTCTGCAAGGGGGCGGTGGGACACCTGGCTAACGCAGTCCCCTAAGCAGCAGTCGGCCACGTGGCCTCTGGGGACCCAGGGCGTGGGTGAACTAGGGGGGTCTCCGGGGAGGACCTCAGCGCCCTGGCTGGGACAATGCTAAAAGGACCACATGGCCCGCACCCTTGACCGGGGACGGCCCCCCACGTCCGCCCCCTCCCCCGGGCCTTTGCTCCGGGCTTGAAAGCGTGCATCTTGTTCGGGGCTCTCGAGGCCCACGGGCTCAGAGAATGACCTCTGACCTCCTTTAGGCGGCCCGTCAGGGTGGGGCAGCCGGGCCCCCGGGGAGAGGGATGCAGGACGCAAAGACGGCTTGGGGTTTGCCCCGAATGTTTGGCGTCTTGTTTTAACGTGCAGGCGAGCGTCCGCTGTCCCGGTGAAGGACCGTGAGTGACCAGAATGTTGGCGTGCTGACAGGTCACTCGTGTTGAGTAGCTAAGTCTACGGGCACCTACATTGAGCCGGGCATCTTAGGGACGGGTGGCAGCGTGTACAACGCACAGCAAGGCCTCGGACTTGTACTGAGACTACACCAGGTTTACCCGTCCAGAAGTTGAGCCCTAGGGAGCTTACACGCCGGGTCAGCGTGGGCGCAGCAGAACTCACGTTCCAACCGAGCTCGCTCCAGGAGCAAAGCCCGGGCCCTGCACCGGCCCGAGGGCCCTCCCCCAAGGCCAGCACGGTTCCAGCTGCCCTGCATGTGGACGTCATGCCCGATGCTTCCTGTCCCAGGACCGAGGGGGACCACCACGGCAAAGCCAGGCAACGGTGCCACCAAGAGCCTGACACGGGACCCTGCCCACGTGGCCTCTCCCAGCGCCTCGGGGTCACCGTCTGTCCGAGAGGGATTCCATGCCCTGGGGGCTAAGTGGGGCCTGGATGGGGTGTGTAAGGTTGGAGAAGGCCCACTCGCACGTGGATGTAGGAGCGATGGCCCACCGAAGGCTGCTCTGGGGTTCAGGCATGGCCCCGGCTCTCCCATGCCCCTGCCCGGTCTGGTCCCCTTCTCTCCCAGCCGGCTGGGTGGCCCAACGTTGTCCTGCAGGCTCACTCCCCTGGGCAGGCTGGACGCCAGACACATAGCAGGCCAGCAGTTCAAAACACCCACCCACCGGGTCTAAGGACTCTCACTGCCTCCCCACAGCGTGAGTGTCTGGGGGACACTTTGCACAGACCCTCCGGCCGGGTGCTCGGCACACGTGGCTTTGCCCCGTCACACTGTCTTGTGGGTGTCCCTCGGTCTCACACCCTGCCTCCCGCCACCGGCCCAGCCCTATCCCCGTGCTCAGGCCCAGCTCAGCGCCTGAGTACAAGCAGCGAGGCCCATTACCTGCTCAGGAAGGGCCCCAGGGCACGTGCCGGCGATACGAGTCCCAGAGGAGGGCAGGTAGGTGGGGGCCGGACTGAAGGACAGACCCCTGCCGAGGAGGCTGGCTTCAGGGCAGGCTTGGCCGTGGCCGGGCCACGGGGGCTTCTGAGAGGAGCAGGACCGAGACGGAGACACCCCACGCCAGCCCCTCACGGGGGGAGGCTCAGGCCATCTAGAGATCGTCACGGCGTCCAGCTGACGGCCAAGGGGGCTGGTGCCTGCTCTGCCCAGCCCTGGCCACAACGGCAGGGGACCTGGGTGATGTGTGTCAGCCCACACGGACACGATGGAGACAACGTTGCACCCAGGAAATGCCTCCCTGGGGGACCCTAGTGGTGGTGCTTGGGGCGTCCAGAGGGCTACACCCCAGCAGTCCATGATGGCCTGGGGCAAACACCGGCCCTCACGCTTCAAGTCCGTTCCCTCCAAGGACAGCACGCAGTGGCCCTGCTTCCATCCTCCGGTCCAGGGACTTGGGCCAAGAGCACCCGGTTCATGAGGTCGCCCAGGCTCCAGCTCACCTCAGCCTCGTCTGAGCTCCCATGACCCTCCCCTGCTCAGCGCCGGCCAGTCCAGATGGGCTCTGGTGGGGGCGCTCCTCCTTCCACGTCTCCTAGGGCGGCCGAGCCTCCGCACAGCCTGCCGCCCGGGAACCCGAAGGCCCCGCCTGCTCGGCTGTTTTCAAACTCCTCATTTGAGTCTGGGGCTGCCTGGGGTGTGTGGGGGGGAGCGTCCCGGGCACCACCGCCGTCATCTGCTAGTCTGTCCTCTGCTCCAACGGCCCGACTGCCGACGGCAGGGTCCCAGCTGGGGACGGCTGCCAGGTACACACGCCCTCTCTGGCTCAGCCTCAGGATGCGCAATCTCAGAGGCCCCTTCCCAAGGCCCCAGCTTCGTGCAACAGCTGGTGCGACACCGGAGTTCTCCGAACATAACTCATCATTGGACACAGTCTCACACAGTCACCTGGTGGTGACTGTCGTTTCCGAGGCCCCAGGACACTCCCCACCAGGGTGTCTAGTCAGCTCCAGCGGAAACACAGGCTCGCTGAGCGCTTGGCAGTGGGGAGACAGGAGGACAAAACCCCAGACGCTGCAGACTGAGGCCAGGGTCGGGAGAGACGGGGCAGTGCCGGCTGCAGGGCACGTGGGGGCTGCGGGCCAGGCCCCAGGAAGAGGACACCCCCACCACTTCCAACAAGGCCAATGGCAGCTGGCTGCTGGGCTCCCAAAAGAGACTCACCGCGGCCCCGAGGGGACTGACGGGGTAGCTCAGGGACCTGACGGTGCAGGGGGCACGAAGGATTCCTCCAGCCCGTTTCCTGAGCGGTGGCTCCTCTGGGGAAGGCCGCCCGCCCGGCCCAGGGCAGTAGGGCACCCACGTCGGGCATGTCACATCGAGGGGTAAATGGGCCTGACACCAGCGTCTGGCTGCGGAGACAGAGTGCTCTCTGCTCTCTGCTGTCATAGCTCAAGGATTACTCCATGGGCCCTGGGGCACCATCTGCAGACATACCTGGGCCAGGCAGAGTTCTGCACCTGAGCCTTCCTAAGCACAAGAGGACTGGCAACAGCGTGTCCCCCTCAGTCCGGGGACAGGGGAAAGACAAGAGGGGCCCGAGCCCTGGACATCTCTCTGACTCACTCTTGTGTACTGCAGACTCAGCCCAAAGCAGCTTTTCTACTTTGCTGTGCCCAAACGCCCCTCATTTCTGGGAGGAGTCCCTGAGGAAGTCCGATTTGCCTTGGACCTGTCCACCTGCTCCAAGTGCCCACCCACCAAGGGGCGGGGCCTTCAAGGGCAGGATCGCACCGATTTCTCACGAGTTTGCACAGTCACGTGGCTCTGGTTGTTCACCACCTCTCAGCGGGGGTGGTGGCCCCCCTCAGGCGCTAGCGCCTTTCTGCACTTCCCATGGCAATGACCTCCGAAATCTCAGTGCGCTGAGAATGTTCGCCTTGCTCTGATGCAAGGTCACGATCTCAACCTGCGAGTCTCTGCTACTGGCTCCTTTTGGAAGAGGCCAGAAGACGTGCACACTGGCGTAGGAGGGCCTTCAGTGGTTGGGAGATCTGTCCAGGGTTATTGTCACCTCCACCCACCACACTCCCTCCTCTAAAGATTCTCCGTTGCCGAGACATATCGCAGAATTGGAGTTCAAGTGGAACCTCAGAGAAACGAAGCAGAACGCGCTCTCTGCATATGTACCTCCAGGAGGACAGATCATTGCATTAGGGTGAGGGTGGGGCACGGGTTCTTGCCCCGCTGGCTGCAACGACCTCAAAGGCCCCCCAGGAACAGGAAAAGAGCAACTCGATTCCTCTGTTGAGCTCCTCTTCCATTCAGACCTCTGAGATGCCTTCATTTCTTCCCACTGACACCCAGCCACTGTTTAGGACTGGCCATGGAGAACTCCGGGAGAACCAAATAAATTCTCAGGGCCTAGGAGACAGTGGGCATTCCCCCAGTCCAGGCAGAACGGGGCTGTCCGTACCTCTGCATTCCCTCGTGGAAAGAGACGGTCGTTCACAGAACCACTGGAGATGACAGGACTAAGGCCACTAAATCATCACTGTGTTCAAAAGGCATGTGACAAGGGCTCAGCACACTGACCTCCTTGCCACAGGAGAGTACTCGGCCTTCTCCAGAATTCAAAGCAAACCGCTCAGAGCATTTATCCATTTCAGACATTGCTCCCACCCCAAAGGCACCCCATCTCCAAACAGGGCCAGAGTTACAGATCAGCTTCCCGGGGACCAGCTGCACAGAAGCAATCACAGGGACCCTCTGGTCACCCCAGGCCCCGGCCCCCGGGCCGGGCCAGGGGCATTTCCATTGCAGTGCTCGCACCGGGAGCCGCACCCCCCTCACCCTACCTCCGCTTCTTCTGCGGGTCTCAGAACACCCCTCCCACCTTCCTGCCGGGACTGCGGCTGCTAGACACGGTCCCCTATGGCTGGCACGTGTCCTGCTTCTCCTAGTGTCCTCACTGCTCACCCACAGGGCCTTCCAGAGAGCAGAGCTCAGCCCATGTCTGGGAATCAAGGAGCCAGTGAGCAGGGCTCCCTCTGTGCTGGGAGGACGTTTCCCCCCCTTTCTGGAAGAACCAGGCCAATGCACGAGCACACGTGTGTGTGCCTTTCGCATTTGCAGAATGACAGACAGGAAGGCATCAGAAGCAAGAACCAACAAACTTTTCCTTTTATTTCTCTATTTCCTGAACCCATCACGTACCTCCTCCTTTCTTTCGCCTTTTCAACCCATCGCTAAACCAATGCCCCGTGATTTTGGTCCGGAGCCCAAACAAGGAGGTAAGGGGTCCCAAATGGTTTCCAGGACATGACAAAACTCTTAACTCTTGAACTGGGTACAGACAAATGCTGCGGGGGGGATGTCACTCACACACTCCGCCGCTGAAACGGATGAAACCTTCTATGGCAAGGAACCCAAGGGACAGCTTCCGCAAGGACACCAAGCTCTGGATGTGGGAGTCATCCCAGGGAACAACCAACGCCACCCTCAGGAGGCTCCTTGCCCTGCTTTCTTCCCCCAACACTCCCTGGCCCTGCACTCCTTAAAACGCCCAGGGCTCTGTCTTCACGCACACACACAAACACACACAAACACACACAGGGAAGGACCAACAAGCGGCCTCACTTCAAGCCCAGCACCTTGGAGGGGAGGCTGCAGACCCCACCAAAGCCTGGACAGGACCTGGCGGACCCCAGGGCTCAGGCCCCCTCTTCCTCATCTCTCACAGCCTCTTCAGACACGGCCAAGGAGGAAGCCGGCTGCCCGAAATTGACCCGGAGCAAATACTCCAGCATTTGCAACTTGTTGGTTTCAAGGTGGGCCCTGGGACCCCACAGGAACTCGTAGCGGGCAGGGTCGCTGCCGGGCACCTGCCGGTACTCCACGTACCCTTCCTGCACCCAGACATTGGTGAGGAGCTCCCTGGGCTCCCCATAGATGACGTGCTCCTGGCCGGCATACACCCCCATGGCCCCCAGCGCTTCCCACACTTCCTCCTCGGGGGCATGGTCGCCCTCCAGGAGGATAAACCCCAGGAGCAACACCAGAAGGCCGGTCTTGGGCATGCCCTGCTCACCGCTCAGCATCCCATCCCAGGTGAGGCCCAGGACGGGGACCAGGATGTAGGAGTGGTCGCCGGGGTCAACTTCCTTCACATCCACGCCAAAGACCAGCCGCATGCACTCGGAGACTCGGCCCAAGATCACGGGGAAGGCATCCTGGTCATCCTCGCCGACGATCTCCAGCATCTCTGCCTGGCTGGTCGGCTCCTTGGTGCGATACTTGAGGAGCAGGAACTCCACCAGGTCGACCACCTTCCCCTGGACTACATTTTGGAGGCCCGGCTGGGCTTCTTCAGGCTCCTCCCAGGTGCTCGCCCCCTCCTCATCGGGGCTGCTGGAGCCCTGGTCAGGCTGGCTCAGGGCAGTGGCTGCCCCGGCACTGGGGGAGGGGCGGGCACTCACAGAGCTCTGGGGAGGACTCTGGAACCCAGCAGCAGACCCATCCTCCGAGGGGACCATAAACAGGGCAGAGCAGGAGACAGATGGGGCAGTGGACTGGGAGGAGGCGGAGGTGGAGGAGGAGGAGGGGGCGCATGGGTCCTCCTCGTCCCCCGCCCCCAACAGCTGTGCCTCCACCAGGCCCTGGGCCGGGCCTGGGTCTTCCTCCAGCTTCCAGAGCTCACCCTTCTGACCCAGGGGCATGGCGTTTGTGTCGGGCTGAACCTGAAGAAAGATGTGGGACGGCTCCTCAGGGAGCAGCCCAGGCAAGAGAGGCCTGAAGTCCCGGGGCTGACAGTGCGCTGCGTCGGGCTTGGGTGCTGAGGGGTCCCCTCTGGGCTGGGATGGGCGAGCCCCTGGCTCCATGCTCAGAGCAAGTACCTCACTTTGACTACCGGCACTCCCCTGCACCTCCCCTGCTCTGGGACCTTAGAGGCTCCTGCCTCAGACCTAGGCCTCAACTCTGACTTCTTGAGGCCCCTGGAGGACAAAAGGAGGAGTCACTTCAGGGTACAGGCACAGAGCGCGGCACACAGGCCCCAACTCTGACTTCTTGAGGCCCCTGGAGGACAAAAGGAGGGGTCACTTCAGGGTGCAGGCACAGAGCACGGCCTCCGGGCCCCATTGGGGCAGGAGGGCTGGGGCGGACTCTGTGAGGTCCCCACCAGTCCAAGCTGGGCGGTCGCTTCCATGGCCTCTCAGGGGACTGCTCTTTCCCCTGGCAGGGCCTGGTCCCCACCCCCACAGCCTGAGGCCAAAGGGTCACAGCAAGACCACGCAGCCCTGAGACTCCACGGAAGGTAAGCAAGGGGGCGCACATCTGCCCATGCCTACCAAAGGTCTAAGGGCTCAGCAAGGAACCCCAGGGATGGCCAAGCTCGGGGTTCCATCTGTGCCTGGATGGGCGCACCTCTCCGTCTATACCTTGACCCCACGGAAGGCCTGGGAAAACTCCATGTTAACCTGAGGCCACCCACCTGGTGCCGAAGCCTCATCTCTGGCAGACATCAGAAGCAAAAGCCAGGAGAAATTACTTGGCTCACCGATTGTCTGTCTCCCCATAGCCGACAGAAGCGGCAGGGTAGGCCTGGGCCCTGAGGATCCTGCTGTGGGAGGCATCCCCTCATTTCTCATCTCCCCCCAACAATCAGGGCCACACCCAGAGCCAGCGCACCTGCCTCCTCTGCTACCTGAGTCCAGACCCTCAGGCCCTGGCCCTCCCCATCCTGAGAGGAAGGATCTGGAAAAGAGGAAGGACTGAACCTGGCAGGCACCACCCAGGGTTCCCAGGGCCGCCAGGTAGGGGCTGAACAGATTCCTGGGCCATCACTTCCTTGTCCCGAGGGGTGCGTTGGGAGTCACTCACTCCTCCCTCGGGTGCCCCCGCATTGACTCTCGGCAGGAGCAGGGACTCCTGTGTGTGTCCAAGGTGGGCTTCCCCAGATGACCTGACCCCGACCTCTCCCAGCGTGGTCCTCACCTCCCTGAGAGTTCCGAGAGGAGGGTGAGGGGCCACCCCGTCCTCGTCCACGGCCACGTCTACAGCTCCCACACTCAGCCCCCGGCATGATCCCAAAGGGCTGGCAGTAGGGACCAGGCCCTGTGTCCTGGGGTGGGGATGCCCTCAGACCCCCAGGACGCTAATCCTCTTTCTTGCTGCCAGGGCCTGCCCTTCTTCCAGGTCCCCAAAATGAGACAGAAGCCATGTGCCCCACACACCAAGACCTCAGTTCCCTGAGGACTCCCACCTTCTGGCCCATGAGACAAGTGAGCACGCATGCCACTTTGGGCCACCGCTGACCGACCCTGCCTGGATCGGGCACGGCCAGAGTCCAGTGCACTGGCTTCTTTGCTGAGATGGGGTGGAGGGGGTACGGCCAGTCCTCCCCCAGTGTCTTCACCCTCACTCCCAACCGGACCTGTGCCCCGCTGCCTCCGACCCCACCCTCCACCCTCACACACACACACACAGGCCCGCTACACCCCAGGCCCGCTCCTTCTCACCACAGGCCCTCAGTCTCTAACAGCCAGATGTGGACCTCAGGACAGGAGGCATGGGCTCCTCCTCCACAGGGGCCTCCTCCCTGGCCTGAACGAACTGCGGCCCAGGCAGTCCTCCCTCTAGTCCTCCCCTTCCATCCTGGCAGGCCCGGGGTCAGCCTGGGCAGCCGTGAAGCCTGCTCCTTCCACCCAGACCCCAGGCTCTGGGAGATGTGGCTGGGAAGTCAGGGCACGCCCTGTGTGATCATCTGGCCCCGGGGCCTCCCGGGACCGAATCTGTTCGCTGTCCCCAAAACCGCAGTCCTCCTTCTGCTCCTCGCATTTCCGCCCAGCAACACGTGGGCCATTCCCCCCACCCCCACCCCCATGCTTGAGGCAGTGCTCCATCCAAATGGCCATGGGTTCTCGGATGCCCTGAAGCCAAAGTGGCCGTGCACTGTGTGGGCGCATCCATCCCAGGAGACTGCGGTGGCTGAATCAGGGCCGCGGTCCTGTGGGCTCCCTGGGGACTCCCTTGGGGGTCCTCGCCTCGAGCCCTAGCAGGTCCTAGGCCCCTTCGTCTGCTGTCCCTAGGCCGTCCGCCAACACCAAGGCCCTCCCTGCCCTGAGCCCACCGGGTTAAGTCTGTGGCCAACTCCTGCGGCCACGAAGCCTAGGGCTTCCCGGGGCTGAGAGCGGGGCCTGAGATGGGGCGTCCAGGTCTCTCGGGCCTTCCTTTATCTCCACCACGACTCCCTGGGTGCCTATGCCTTCGCCTGTCTCTACTGCCTACGGATCCGCTCCCTGGCACCGGGGCATCCAGCCTCTGGGAGACCCAGATGGGCAAGTGGGGGACACACAAACGCACGCACGGACACAAACGGGGTGTCCCCGTCCTCCACTCGGGCCTCTAGGGACTGACTCTGGGCTGGGGTCCAGGGTCTCTCAGTCCTCCCTTGGCAACTCAGCGTGAAGCCCAACAGGACCTGGGCCCGCCCCTCTGCCCCCCTGAGGGAGGCCCTGCTCCTTTGATCCGTCAAGACCCCAGGTTCTCGGGAGTCCCAGATGCAAAAGTCCGGCCAAACTGGCCACGTGTCCCCATCCCGCCCAGGGCGGGCCTCCCTAGACTGACGTCATGGGTGGGCTTCTAGGAGGCTCCCCTCTGTCCTTCCTCAGGGTTTATCCCTGGCCTCCCCACGCCCCCCCTCCCACCCCCGCCACTGGGTCACCAGGGCCCTCCCCTCTGCCCACCTGAGCATCTGCTTCTTTCATCAGGCCCTCGCCTCAGTCTCTCAGAGACCCGGATGCGGAAGTCCGGACTCACCACGTGCTCCCATCCCCCGCCACGGACCTTCCCTGACTGACGCTGTGCTGGGGTCCGGGGACCCTCTGTCCTCCCTCTGCATCCTCAGCCTGAAGCCCAGCACGACCTGGGCCCACCCCTCTGCCCACCAGAGGGAGGCCCTGCTCCTTCGGCCAAAGACCCCAGAGTCTCTCGGGAGACCCGGGTGCACCAGTCCAGCCGCACTGGCCGCGTGTCCCCATCCCGCCCGGCGGCCGTCCCGGACTCACCCTGGGGCCCGACCTCGCTGAGGTCCCCTCTGGCCTGAGCTCGAGAGTCCCTGGGTCCTGGCCGCGATCGATCCCCACCCCGTCCCCACCTGGACACCCTGGGGCTCCGTGCGCCCCCGCCGCTCCCCGACCTGGCGTCCTTCCCCGCTGACCAAGGTCCTCAGCTCCCTCTCAGCCCCGAGGCGCCTTTCAGCGGACGGCCGCCACCTGGGGCCACCCTCCCCGGGGGGCCCCCAGGGCCTGGCCGCGGCAGGGCCCGAGGGGCTGGACCTGAGCGGGGAAGAGGGGCCCCCACAGTCCTCCGTGTGCCCCCGGAGCCCGCTCCAGGGAGGGCCCGGGCCCGTCCCTCTGGGGACCCGTGTCCTTGGTCCTGGGCCCCGGCGGGAGGGGCTCAGCGGGACGACGCCGTCCCTGCCCGGGGTCTCTCGGGGCTGCCGGCATGGGCCACCTGGCTCCTGGGGGTCCCCCCACTCTGTGCTCCCGCACGGGCGGGCCTACCTGCACGCCTGGCCTGGCCCGACCGAGATCCGGCCTCGCACACACGGAGGTGCTGGCGTCGCTCACGCCTCCGAGGCGGAAGTCGGCGCTCGTCACATCCGGACCCCACAGGAAGGGGTCCCCTAGGGCTGACAGCACGTCGGGCCGACATGGGTTCCGGGCTGGGCTACGTGGGGGCAGGAGACGGGAGCGGGCCGGCCGGGGGTCCCTCGGGCCTCCCTGGGCTCCTCACCTGGACTCTGGCAGGATGGAGCCCCCGCACTCGGCAGCCCTGAGTCTGTGCCCCTTAGACCAAGGCTCTCAGGCTCCGACATCCTTGAGCACTTGACGGATGGTTTGCGGGGCTTGTGCCTCACCTGCTCACAGGGCCCGGGGTCTCTCAGGGCCGCTGGCAGGGACACAGCAGGGTTCGGTGGCCCCCAGTGTTCTGGGACATGTGACTTCTCTATCCTCACCCAGGAGGCCCTCCTCTACCCTTGTGTGACACACACAGTCATGGGACAGATGCCTGGTATGAAGCTCTAGTGCCCTTGACCGTGGGGCAGGGTCAGAGGAGAAGCTCTCCTTCCCAAGGGGTCCCTTGGCCAGCAGCCAGACTTCAGAAACATTCTGTTAAAGATTTAGTTTACTGAAGAGGCTGAGCCCCTGTAGGAGGTTTGGGGTTAGGTCCTACGTTTTTAGGGTTATCCACTATTGCAGGGTCTGCTGCAGGGAGGTGTCCTTTGTCGTGCGCCATCATCGTTAGAAACACGCTGTCCATCTCTACCTAGTGTGTGTACGACCTAGGTTTATATATGACGTGTGTACATGATATGTGCTTAGGTACACGCACATGTACGTATCACATAGGTATGGACATCGACAGGTAAATATGCATTTATGTCCTGGTTATAGATGCATTTTTATAGGTATGTATTTATACATGAGTAGACTGTGTATATACTTCCTTTAGGAAACACTAACTGCTCATAGTATATGGCATTTGGTTTTGATACTCACTATGCTATTTCCGGTCTAGTCTTTCTATCCTCTTCCAATAATTTTTTGAAAGGGCCATCCTCACCTAGTAAGCTGATCTGAGATAGCTAAAGCACAGAATCCAGAACCATCTGTCTCCATCAATGCCATGTTCTCTGCTGTCCTGATACTTCCCC